GACCCTTAAGAGTAAGGAAGATAATGGGGATGGGTAATTGGAATGATCGTTTGATGATTGAATATATATATATATATATATATATATATATATATAAGATATAATATTGTGGGTTGAAAACCCTATATGCTCACCAGGCTCACAAGCCTGACCCACTCAGTTTTCTTTGTATTACAGGTTGTGGCACAAGAGCATAAGTTGGCTGACGTAACGAGAGATAAGGATTATAGTCCCGTAGTTATAATTAACCGTGTAAGGTCTATGTTGTTCTGTTTATGCTTTTGGTCTGTATTGAACATGACATCCCGATATTTTTTGTTATATTATGAAAATACATTTCTTTGAAGAAATGATTTGATAAATTCTTATCATGTTTTGTTTTGGGAACAAATTCCGCAACTGTTTTCTGTAAAATATTACTCTGATTTTAAAAACAAAGCATAAACAAATCGGTCTTTTCTGGCCGTGAAATTGAGGATGTCACAACATCCACCTTATGCCCCCATAAAGAAACATAAATAGTTTAGGGAATGATTAGACCAATTTCAGAAACATTGTAGGCTACAATGTCATTTCCCTTAATATTTTAAGCATATACACTAAAGGGGGAAGGGCGACGTCCAATGACGACAGTGAAACTTCTGTTGGCAACCTCCCCCCCCCCCCCCCCCCCACTGAGTATCCGACGAGACGAAGGGGTGAGTCAGTGAGGACGAGACGAAAGAAGGACGAACTATGAATGTTGTTACTAATTTGAGATTCTCGATTCTAGCCTTCTAGTGCACGCTCCAAACAAATAACAATTTATTAATAAATATTAAATATACTTTTTTTTTAAATCCTATTTATTTGACGGGTTGACGGATTGATCCGCGAACCCAAACACATAACCCGAACATGACACATGAAATAGGAGGGTTGGCGGGTCAGAAATCTCAACCCAAACTTGTTCATTTTTGGGTTGGGTTCGTGTCGGGTTTCGAGTTAGATCAAGAAGTGCCGCCCCTGACTCTCATTATACTACTTTTCGTGAACTTTTTTCCTAGAAACAAGAATAAACCTCACTTGAACCAACATCATTTATATGGTAGGGAAACTTTGTGCCTATGCAATACTAGTCAACCATCCCATAAGTTAGTTCAGATGACTATTTAATGATGTTGAACTAGTATGTGAGAATATCATCTTGATCAACTCGTTTGGAATGTATTAATTCGTAGGTCGTTCATACTCATCCAACCTTGAGATGTTTTCTTAAAACATTAGTATTTTGTTTATTATCATATAGAAATATAGAAATATAGAAATTCTTGTCCGATCCATTAACTCCATTTTACAAAATCTTGTCCGGTTCCAATAACTAATAGTTTATATTTCCTGTTAACATGAAGCTTTGCATGCTTATTTTTTACTTTATTTTTGTTGTACTCCTCAGCTTAATTTAAAATATATATTTTTATATACTCAACTTGATATTTGAGCTTGGAATGATTTATTAGATTCTGTCTTTTAAAACGAGTTACATCAAGTTGGTTTATTAAATTACTAGGTATGAGAGCCGTGTATTACACGGGTTGATTTAAAAAAAGATTAAACATTAAATTAAAGTGTAAACAGAAAATATTTTTTAATGTACAACTTTAAAATAAGAAATGAAAAAATGTATTTATTGCAATTTAATATCATATATATGATATTTAATACTTTACATATATAAGTATATGAATTTAATTTTAAAAATTGAAACAACCAAAAATTAACATGTGGATAATATTTATTTCAAAAATACCACAAAATGACAAGTGTCAAAACTCATGAGAGATTGACATATGACAAAAAAAACATTCATTTATTAAGAAGGATTCTTTGTATAGCAAAAGGAATCAAAGCTTTGTTGAATATTGTTTTAGATCATGCAATTTTTTTGGAAGGGGATTAAGTTGTATTCCTTATATTCGTGTGTGGTGTTATATATAATATTAAACAGGGTACAAGGACCATTGTGATACATGGTAGATTTTCAGTGATGCTCACAAACGCACCAATATTTGACGTCACACATCTATTGACAATTTGGCATAGAAATTAAATTACATCATTTTTTATTTTATTTTATTTTTAAAACAGTAAATATTATTTATTAAATTACATCATTTAATAAATATTAAACTTAGTCTTCTATGTGACTCACTTTTCTCATAGAGAAATGTCAAGTGCATCCGGGGCCGGTCCATTGTTTTTTACTATCCAGAGTGAGATAAAAAATTTATGCCTTTATATATAAAAAATTTACGAAATTAAAAATATAGTAAATTTTATAATCAACTAAATAATACAAACAAAAACATACAAAAATCACCTAAAAAGATGTATTCGTGCATTTTTTGAAGCAAAAATAAATTTACAATAATCAATATTTTGTTGCCTCTAGAAGTCAGAAATCTAATTAGAAAGGATCTTTAGACAACAAAGTCATAAATATAGCTCCTGCTTCACATCACATAAACAATAACACAAAGGTTTAGAAAGGATGTTTAGACAACAAATATTGAACACAAACATATTTTGAAATTAAACTTACAGAATCTTAAAATCTGATTTCTGAAACATTATATACAAACCAAATTAGGAGAAAACATATTTGAAACATCATATACAAACAGATTTCGAAATATACAAATCTGATTTTTGAAAGAGCTCAAACTTGGAGAAAACAGTAGAACTCAACCAAATCTGCTTATAGAAACAACAACACCCAAATCAGATACAAGATCCAATAAGTAAGAAATAAATCAAATTTATGAAACAAAGCTAATAAACACAAGTTTCGAATGAACTCGCCCAAATATGCTTTCAGAAACAACAAACCCAAATCTGATTTATGAAACAATAAAGAAAATGATACAAAAATGAAAATCCAATAAGACTTGGCTTTCATTCTTTTTTCCTGTAATCAAATAAAGTAGAAATCAGATAAATAAGAAATCGATATGATTTCTGAAACAAATGTGATTTATGTAACAAAACCCAAATCGAATGAACTCGATGAATAGTTTGAATACCAGTCAGATGTCTTTTGAAATTAGGAAAGTACAGAAACTCATCCAAGATAAAGGCTTTGATGCTACTTGTTATTTTAAATCTCAAACTCTTTTCATGTTAAATCGATAAGTTTCATACTCTCATTCCATTTATGAAAATAACTTATGAAAAGTAATCACATTTTTAAAGAAACCTAAATTAAATAAACGTAGATTTCGAATGAACTCACCCAAATTTGATTTCTGAAATAACCACCAAGAAACGAATCACGCCCAAATCAATGAATCACCAAATCAAAAATTCAGAATCGGCTTTGATGTATCAGATTAGAGAAAATGAGACCTTAAAACCGGACTAGAGCAGAGAAATCGCTTCTATATCGGGACTAAGTGTCGACTGATAAAAAGAAATCGAGATTTGAGAGCTATGTGTTATCGATTATCGACTGGAAGGGAAAAATAGAGAAATCAAATCTTACTTTTTATTTATTGGAGACGTTTCTAGGTAGGCAGTGTCGCATTGATTTCTCCTATTGAACGAAGCAACATGTTTCTAAGCAGTAGGCACGAGAGGCAACGTTTGGTTTATCTATGTGCATGATCGATGAGACGATGATTCTTCATTTGTTTGGCGCGTCTGCTTTCCTTCTCACGTTCAGATCACAAAACAAAATATGGGCTAAGTTTTTGGGCCATTATAATAAATAGTATATATACATACCATTTGATGCCCTTTGATGCCCTGGGACTAAGCCTAAGTTGCCCATGTATTGGGCCGACCCTGAGTGCATCAATGTTAAAGGCGCATATCGTGGCCACGGTGGCAACGACCATGACCATGCACACCATTTCGGTGGCTCGTTGTCGTCCGTGGTCGTGGTGGATTGTGGTGTTTACCACATTGTACAATTTCCAATTAGTATAGAAATTAAGGTTTGACCATTTGACTTGGGTTGACCAGCCATTCCCAACGACTTAGTTGTTAAAAAAATAAAACTAAACATGTTTAAAACATATAAATAAAACAAAATACAATCTTTTTTTTTTTCACGTTATTCTTCTATTCCTCTACTACATACATGCATATATATATCTTGTCAAAAGCTAAATACCATGGGTTAAGGTCCAAACACTCCACCAACAAATCGAAACTGTAATTTCGAAAATTAGTTTTATTTTCAGTGTTCGTATTTTCAATGTTTGTTTGTTTTTTTTTTAATTTTCAATCTTGTCAAAAGCTAAATACCATGGGTTAAGGTCCAAACACTCCACCAACAAATCGAAACCGTAATTTCGAAAATTAGTTTTATTTTCAGTGTTTGTATTTTCAATGTTTGTTTGTTTTTTTTTCGTATTTTTTTTAGATTTCGGTACTCTCTTTTTAATTTTAATGAATGTACTTTTTATTTTAATATAGTAATGTTTTTATTTTAATTAAAAATACAATATTTTCATTATATTTTCATTTTAATTTTAGTTAAAAAAATGATATATAGTGATGGACAATACAAACAATTTATACAAGAGATCACTAATGGAATATGCTTTAACATCAAATTTGTTATAAAAATAATGTTGGATTAAAATAATTATACACTATTTTAATACTAATAATAGTATTAACAACATAGATGATGATAGATGATGATGGATTAGAGATGCCCAAATTAATAAATAATCAGACCCATGTGAATTGATCTTGTTGAAGATCAATTGATCAAAGGTGATCCAGACACCTAAGCATAGACATGTTGGTAGATAGGGGTCAAGTTTTAAAGGTGATGCGGCTAAAAGCCCTTTAAAATTAAAGGGTAAAATAAGTAATTATTATATATATATTAAAGTTGTGCACCAAGATGAATAGTGAACTGACGAAGTTTTGGCAGAAATGGTCCCTTCATTTTAGGTTTATTTGCAGTTTCGGGTTCATGGGCATTTTATAGAATTATATGCACCAAGATGAATAGTGAACTGACGAAGTTTTGGCAGAAATGGTCCCTTCATTTTAGGTTTATTTGCAGTTTCGGCTTCATGGGCATTTTATAGAATTATATACATTCTTCTGGACACGTGTTTATCATCGTAGCATATCAGATACTTCTCGGTTCTTCTCAACCCCCATATCTCTCTTTTCTAATATCTGTTTCTTTCTGTTGCTTTCTGGATGGTTCCGGTCCACTACCCTAGACGGCGTCGTTGAACAGCGAAGCACCGTCCACCGCCCACCACCTCTAATACCGGTTCTGATTGTAGGACCAATCGGTAGAGTCGGTGGACAACCCTATAGCGGCAGCAACCACTGCTGGTCAGAATTCATCTTTGAACCGCTACACCTCTTTGTTTCGGGGAAGCACTAGGGCTTGGTTCATCTTTCCCTACAGCAATCGTCGATTCTCCTACAAAGCGTGTTTCAGAATCGACGTCCCCCACAAGCCCTAAAGGTAACCCACCGATCCATTTTGCTCCTTTGACTACTATGTTGTTCAATTGCATGTCGATCTTTCTTCTTCTTTATCTTCTATTTCAGATGCCTACTCAATTCCCAACTTGGACGAGAAATGGTTTGCACCCTGGCGATGTCGGCTTGGAGGTATGTTTTCTATACTCTGCTTTGTCTCTTCAGCTCCTTCAACCTGAACTAAAGAGAGGACCTAATCCGTATTTTAGTTCCACTTCATTCAACAAACGGAAATATCAGAATGTGGATGATGGTGATTCTGCTTCTGCTTCTGCACCGATTAAGTCATTCTTTATTGCATCCAAGAGTAACACGGACTTAAGTGGGGATGATTCTAATCATCTGTTTCAGTTTACCCAGGTACGCATTTACAGGGTACCATCAAATTTTTTTCTCTGATTTCTCGCGTTGCTTACACATTTAGGGTTTGTGGTGCTTAGATTTGGTTGGTAATTGTGTCTGTTTTCTTATAGGTTGTTCTACCAGATTCCATCATCAGTAAATCTGGCAAAGGTGCTGTTGGGAGAAAGATGAAGACATAGATACGTAAAGTTTGTAAGCTTTTTGTTTGAAATGGATAATGTATGAGTTGTATAAAGCAACAAATAGTCGTTTAAAGAGCATAGCACCAAAAGAAGTAAAGGTACTAATGTATCTGCTTAATTTCACGGATCCAGAAGAACGATTTTCAGCTTTATCAACTGCATTTTCTCCTGGTAAAGATGATGAGGCTAAGGATCCCAATGTAATATACACGATAATTGGCTCGGATTTTTATTTATTTATTTATTAACTGTGAAATTGAATTTTCAATGCATATCAGTGTTTTTAATATGGTTTTTTTACTGCTGTAGAATTGTATACCTCGAGAAGTGAAAATTGTATTTAGCGATTGTGGTCCGTAGGCAAAAGGATGAGCTACCATTTGGGGGTGTTTGACTTATCTTTTTGGGAGCCAAAAGTCCTTTTGGCAAAAGTTACAAAAAGACAGGATTTCCTGACTTTTCCAAAAAGTCAGTTTTCCTTATATCAAAAATCCAAAAGTTGCTTTTTAAATGTTTTTACCAAACATCTTTTGCATTCTATCTTTTCCAAAAAGAACTTTTGGCTTTCAAAAGACAAGCCAAACACCCCCAAATGTAAAGGTAATTTTAACTATTATCCACTCAACAATTTACACAAATAGTTTTTGTAGTTTTTTTTTATTTTTAATTTTAACTATTAGTCTTTTCTTTACAGATCAATGTGTCAATATACAATTGGGATATGATTCTTAATTCGTGTTGGAACTGAAAGGTATGCTGTGCAGTATAGCATCCCTTGAGTGGTTCTGAATCTCTGATGTACCTTCTATACAGCTTCAAAGTCGCCTCAAGTAAGTTTCTTTCTGTCTTATCATCAGGACATGAACTTTTTTCCACTGTTTAATGATGTTATCTTATGTTATAATGGTTTAATGTTATTGCAGGAGAACTTATGGAAGCAAAATATCCCTGTTGGGGCAGAGGTATGTACACGTGTTATTGCCATTTGGTAAATGACAAGTATACTTACTTTTTTGACCATAATACCCTTGTACTTTCAAATAAACAAGAAAACTTCGGTAAGTTATGGCTAATAACCTTAAATTTCTCATGGGTTTAGGCTAATAACCTTAAATTTCTCATGCAGACACCATCAAATAATCGTACAACTTGATCTGCATTGCAACCCTAACACAAAAAAAAAATCCAAACTTTTATACGAAATTCATGTCTAATTATAATCTTAAATCCATACATACTTTGGATTGTGATGGTGGGTAGGTAGTGTTATGTTATTTAGTTAAAGTGAGTGGTGGCAATTAATGTTGTTGTTGCTGTTGATTTGTTGTTTGTGCTGCAGGGGTCCACCAATACTTCACCCAAACAGCGAAATCATCCCATTTGTGCCTAACATGACACCAGGTGGACGACAAAAGGCAGGTTGTACTGTTTCACACATTTACCAATTTATGCCATAATATTCCAGTTTTTCCGCTTTTTATAGCATTACACTTTCAAATATTCACTAATTACGCATTATAGTCTCCGAATTACATCCATTTATAGCATCAAATGCATTGGATTTCTTTTTTGAAGTTTTTTGCTTATGTGCTGTTATTTGAAAATGTGGTAATCGTTTGCCACATCATCATCATTTGGACTGTCACATAAGCAAAAAGCAAAAAAAATTAAAAATGAAATGGTATCCTGTTCGGTAACCAGTTCTACGGGTTAAAATTGCAGGCTTATTGTAAGGATATAATCAAAAGCGGACACCATAACACTTTTAAAATAAGTTGTTAATCAAATATTTTGATCTAACTATGATGCTATAATTAGGTAAAACGTTCATTGCCTTGGATTTAGAAAAAAAATCAATTATTTACGACTGGGAAATAACCCATTAAGTATAAAACTGCAGGTTTGAAAATTATCTGGATTTGTGGATCACAAATCTTATATTTAAGATGGCAACGTTACTTTCATTCAGATACCATTACAATTTAAGCAAATTATGTTATACTTTTTCTGTTGTTAGAAAAAACCCGTCCCGGGGCGAATAAGTTGCTTATTTTGAGATTTGTAATGGTTGTGATATGTTTTGTAGTGATGATAATGAGGGCAATAATATGTAATAACTACAAGGTGTTATGTTGATTAAAAAATTGGTCAACGGGTTTGCCATTTGGTACATTTTTTCAGATTTAGGTGGTATATATACTAAATAGCAATGTTCATTTAAATTTTTTTACCAAAAACCAACTTACATTGTATTGGTTGAACAATTCCGCACCCCGTATAGCGGGGTGTCTCAGCTAGTTAATACTAAAAAGCAGATTAGTACAATATAAAGATAGTATGAAGGGATTAAAATATATTCCAATCCAACTATCGACAATTTAGTGATATTGTTTTCATTCGAACTAACAAAATTAGTCCAAACAGAGAGTGTAAAAATTCAATAAATAACCCTTATACAAAATTGCATAAATTGACAAATAATCTACTCTATGACATATTTCGATAAAAGAAAATATAACTACGTCACATCCACAAATCATCAACCGAAGTTATTGGCAAATAACTTATTTTTAAATTACATCAAACATACAACCCTTTTTTGTGTAATGTTTAAAGATAAAACACAAACATCATTAATCATTAACATAACATTCTAGTAACATCAATCTTGATCTACAAGATTCTTTTAACTGTTTAACTCATAATAAAACCATGAAACTAATGGTTTGTTTCATAACTTTTTAATGACTTAATTAAGAAGCAGACTCTGGATCGATTCAGAGCATTTGATAGCATCTTAAGCTTGCATTTTATTTGGTCAGGTACTTCTTATTGGGTCATAGATTAAGGCATATCTGAATGAAAAAAATGTTTTATATTTCACTAAATATAATGTGAAGTCTTCTTTTTGCAGCCAACGCCTCCATACTCCAACCCTTATGCCTTTGAGATCTTCAGCTCCAACCCTTCTGTCTTCGATGACCCACACCGCCGTCGACGCCCCCCTCATACACCAACATGCCCCACACTCACACAACACACCACCATCGCCTCCCTCGCACATAACCTTTGAAGCACATACCTCCCATGAAACACACGATCGTCACAAAAGCAAGTTTTCAACTATCATTTATACTTGGTATCAAACTTTTTTGCTCCTCCATTATTATAAACCAAAAATAATTTTATTGATCACTTGATTTTAATTTCTTTTTTCACAGAAAAACATCAAGTTATGCATTCCCTTGGCTTAAAGCATATCGATTTTCAATTTCATGGACTAGACCCCTTTGTGTTATCAAATTCTGGAGACTTGATTAATTACGTAATTATTATGTGTATTAGCTTTATTTGGTTTCTAGAATGTGTTATGGTTCACTTTATGATAAAATATGACGTTATTTGATGTTCTTGAAGAAAATAGTTCAAAAGGTGAAACAGTCATTTTTATTATTTAGCACAACCATTCAGATGTCTAACCAAACAACATGTTTTAAATCAGAGACAAATTTTTCAGAGTCTCCGTTTGATTCAAATCTTAATCAGACAAATTCTGTCAAACATCCCATAAATTGCATATTTACGAAACACTAATTTAATTTGGAATAAAGATATTACAACAGCTCAAAAGTAAAACAAAACTTACGATTAAATTCATAAATTGATAGAGAAAATGACAAATTAAGTTGTTTCACTTAAGGTTTTTTGAAGAATAAACAAAAATTGACCAATTTCCTAAACTAGCATCAAATTCATACGACATGTGATGCATGCCCTAGCGTGGAGGATCAGGCCCTTATGTTCCTACAGGCCCATGATCGAGTGACTAAAGGGCTTCACAAAAATTACCACAACTTTGGCTACGGGGTTCTGTTTTGGGTCTGCAACCATTCAAATCGAAGCTTGAAATGAGGAGCACGTTACCGTTTATTTTTTCTGTAACATCCTGAAATTGGGCCTAGGAGTTTTTCCATCTTTAATGAGAAAATAAAATTTTAGAAATAAAAATAATTTAAACTAAATAAATAATAAATAAATACAAAAATTCAAATAAAAGAAAATCATAATTTTAAGAGAACGTTTATATTTAAAATAAGAATTTAGAATGAGATTTTATTAAGTCTTAATCAAAATTCTAAAAGACGAGGGGTTAGTTTCATGTAATAGCAAATCTTATGTCTAGTGTTGACTTAGTTCAAAAGGTGTATTTTGGGGCTAATGTGTGGGAAACAGAAGTTCCATAAGCTAGTTGATTTAATGGTGTCATTTTTAGAAAAATAGAAAGAGGGAAGGGCTAAATATGTTAAGTGATGAAAGATTTAAACAGTTAGGTGGGAGATCTCTCCATTTGAAGGAGAGGAAAGAAATTTAAAGATGAGGAAGTTGGCATTGACAATTTTGAAGCTTGGAGGGAAGAAATAGGGTTAACTGTTGAAGAAGAATCAAGATCTTGAAGCTAGAGATCTCATATAAGTATTTGGAAGGTATAACTCCTCCCTTTCTTCTTAATATTCGAGCTAGGATTTGGGTTGAAACCCCAAATCCAAAAATGGTGATAATTATGTTAATTATATTCTAGTTCAGGAATGATTTTGAAGTTATAACTCTCATTATACATTAAATACATTTCAATTTGGTTTTGATGAAGCTTTGGTTAAGAGATTAAGCTCCAAGCTCCATTAATGGTGGAATTTTCAATCTAGTAGTTCAAATGAGTTGTAGAGTGTTGGATTTCCTTCTCAAACACCATGATATTGTTAAATAATTCTTAAATGATTTCAATCCATCAATTAATGGTGAGATTGGGTGATTCAACCCCTAGATTCATGATTGGGTTGTACCTTGGCAATAATGAGTTGTACTCTAACCAATAGTTGTAGAATTAGATTTAATTATGGATTCACTAAGTGTTTGGATGATTGGATTTGTTATTCTCTAGTCTAGAATCAAGTCTCAATATGAATCCATAAGAGTTTTATGTAATTGAATCAATCATTTGAGGTGGAATTAAGAATTAAGATTTCCAATGAAGATCCATGAGAATTTTGAAGAAGACTTCGATGATTGGAAGAGGATCATTACGAAGATTGTCATGAGTTAAAGTCATAATTCATGAACTAAGTATTGGATTATTGATGATTGATTTATCAAAAGAATCTAAAGGATTTTGAAGTAAAAACTATGAAATCAAGTTTTCAATGATTTTCAACTTTGGAATCATTAATTCCAACCCCTAGAATGCATGGATTTGATTATGTAAGTCCCTAATCAGCTTGTGTATCAATCAGATCCAATTGATGGTGCGGAATCCCAATCAATTGGATGATGTCAGATTAAATAGAAGAGAAGAAGAAGAAGAAGATGATGAATCTTGAATGTATTGATTAGAATGAAGTTCCCTTACACAAGATTCACACACTTACACACACTAAAACTCCTCTCTTCTTTCTATTCCGTACACTCTCTTCTGTTCATCAATCTGTTCCTCACACCCCTCACCCCTATATATACATGAGAAACATGGGCCGTAAATGGGTTTACGGTCGTAAACACCCATTGGGCCGTAAACAGGGTTTACGGTCGTAAACCTATTTACGGCCGTAAACACTACCTGGCCGTAAACCTGACCGTAAACACATATATGACCGTAAACACTGAGCTGTTTACGGTCCTAGACATAAAAATACATTTTCCTAGAAAAGCAAAGTATAAACCATATTTTTGACCCAACAATCTCCCCCTTGGTTTATAGCTTTATTTTCTTAATTGACCCAACAAGCTCCCCCTAAAAAGTAGCTAGCTCTTCTTGTTAATCTTCATTGGGAGCTTTGGCTTCAGCTTTAATCTTCGATATCTTCATGACTTCAAGATGAACATATGAATCTTCAATGAATGACTTCATTTTGAGCAGTTGGGCTTTTCTTCAAGATTTGACACTGAACACACATTGGGTGAGGAGGCTTCTTGTACTGATTCTTGAAAGATAGCGCTTTCAGCTTGAGAATCTTCAGAGAGAATATCAGAGAGAACTAATCTTTTGGATCACTTCAGCAGGTTCAAGATAGCAGCAGACTGATTGAGGAGGCTTCAATGCAATCCGTCACATAATCTTCAATTTCAGCTTCACCTTGCTTCTGGGGTTGAAAGATTGAATGTCGAAAGAATAATCTTCATTTCTTGCTCCTTCGAATGAGAATTCTTCGATGATCACGGATGAAGCCTTGGCTCAGAAATCTTTGACACAAACTTCCATGAGTTTCATCTTCACCTGAATTCACTATTCAAGACAAAACAAAACTAAAAGAAAAATTTAGCACACAATATTTTTGGATTTTTCACATTTTCTGAAAAAGAAATAAAACAGAAATAACACTATTTTTTGGATTTTTAATTTTCTGATTTTTGTTTGGTTTTTAAAATTTTTAATTCTCCCCTAATATTTAAATTAGAAGAAACTATGAACAAATTTAACAAAAATAAAATGATATCTAACTTTAAGAGTGATTTGGGATCAAAGTTTTTAGACAGCCTTTATCCGTTTATCAGTACCTCTCCCTTCATGAATAGATCTGGTCAATCGCCGGTATTATGGTCCACTTAAACACGAGAGATTGTGACAAAATTAGGACATACTATAAGTGACAAGACAATGTGATCCTATGTTCCTAGATAATATTCCTTAAGGACCATTCAGCTGACGACGACCAAAGATATTGTTGTCCACCTAAATTGAGCAGCGAGATCTACAGACAACCTAGTGATTGTTCAATTTTAAATGTACTAGAACATGTTTCCCGCTTCCTGACATACCCCAATAATCAGGAACTTCCAAAGTACTCCTTACTTTAGGTGAGCAGACAATTATTATGAGAGAAGTTAGATTTAGAATGCATATGCTATACACCCAGGTCGGATCTCTTCCAATCACGCAGAGGGTGAAACATATGACTAACTGAAGTTCTAGAAGGATTGAGAAGAAGAATGGTGCATATGCTGTGTACCAGGTCGGATGGTTAATCACGCAAAGGAGACAACATATGGCTAACAGGCAGGAAGAATTGCATAGATAGAAGATGCATAGAAATAGAGTTGCATATGTTGCAGTCCAGGTCGGATGTATTTCAATCAC